ATAAGTACACCTTTTTCATTCTGTCAAAATTTTTGTAATAAAACTATAAATAACAACTAAATGCCGCCCAACCGGTATAGTGGTTACCATCGCTGACTGCTATAACGAAGGGCCCGGGTTCAAATCCCAGAGAAGGAATGGATGTTTGTAAATGTATAGTATCAGTGCGGCATAGCAGCACTTTAAATATGCAGAAAGCCAAAAGTCCTCTCATGTGGTTTGGTAGAAGGGCAGAGGGGTGAGAGACCCTCTGACCTATCTTCTCGGAATGCTCTCCATCAAAATTTGGAGTGGGGGAGACTGAGCTAAATCGCATTGTCACCTGAAAGGTGCTCAAGGCTGTTGCCAATGGCAGGCATATTCTAGCACTCCTTGCCACGAGGAATTTCATGGGTTTGGGCTGACTACGTCATACAAAAGAGCTTAAGCAACAGCATAACTTAAATTATGACCATTATAACTTTAAGGAGGACTTATTCCTCGTTAAGACAGAAGTATCTCAGATTTTTATTTTTGTTATTGAAAACGAAACAGAAACATGCAAGGGATCAAATTAAAACAGGAACATGCTTTTGAATTTCTGCAGTTTATTCTAAAATATAATCTCCAGAACAAAGTTTTCTGAATATTGCAATACTATTGCGAACTTTCCCCCCAAGTGTTATAAGAACTGATGGTTGTGAGATCAGTTTTGGAAATAAAAATCATTTAAGAAATATTAACTATAGATGTTTATTTTGTAAAGAAATTTTTCACACCCTGCATAACAGCAAAATGCAACAATTAAATATACCTCTACAATCTCATTGATGGTTTTGGGGAAGGGGGAAAAAATTAAAATGTTGAAATTAATTTTTTCTTCAGAAATAAAACATTCTCTGTAAATTTATTTCCCTAAATGTAATTTTGTCAATTTTTAGCTATTTTATTTCTATATCAAGAAATGTGGCAAATTCAGGAACAGCTCCATGGAACTAGTAAAAAGCTCTAAGCTACTGGGTAGAGAGCACCTCTCAGAGACTGCGGCTATAGCTCTGGATGCCTTACAGGTGACAGCATGACTGCTCAGCTCCATTCCAATTTTGAAATGGACTTCTCCTACTCCTCTTCCCCTATTACCAGCCACTCAAAAGAACTTTCCATTAAATAGTATTTGAGTGCCCCCATGCTGCAAAGGCCCCAACGACACATTTTTAAACATACATCGCTTATCTGGGACTCAGACCCAGTCAGCAAGAGAAAAGATGCTTACTTGAAATTATAAAACTGGTCTAGAATGAGCATCGAAGATAATGTTCCAAATATATGAAAATCTACATACTATTTTTGAAATTATCAAGGAGAATCTCTAATTTCAAAATGGTAATTAAGGTCTAATCTTATGCACTGGGGGCAATTGAGAATGACCTATGCATTTCAGTCAATGATGGACAACTCTGCAGAGACTGAAAATCATTAATTAAATTAGTTATGTTCATGCAACATTATGTAATGAAAACTGTAAAAAAAAACCTGAAATGGTTCAGATTTTAAGAGTGCCCAAAAGAGCTCTTTTAAAGTTGAAAAATGATAAAATATATAATTGCAATTCTATAAAAATATTTGTGGTTGATCTTTACAATATGGTAACTGGTAATTTGGTGACATTTTGGAGGCGATAAAGGTTACTACCTGGGACTTTGGTAATAATGTGAGCAGTACTCAGTTCCGATTACGCATTATTTTGTGTGAGGGAAATGAGAGATCATGGGATATGTCATGTGATATTAATGGACGAATTACGGTTCTTTAATCGGAAAAGGGGGGAAATCGGGAAAAAATCTGGAAATTTTGTATTTGGTTTATTCTGTGTTGTGTAAAACAGTGTTTGTGAATTTTTGGATCCCATGGCCGTAACTAAAGAAAAGTTTATCGGGCACGTAATCAAGATTCTGAAGAAGATGAGGTAAGTTAGTATTTTTAATTATTTGAGGATATTATTTTTATGCATTGTTCTAAATCTAAGGTGGAAGTAAAGTAATTTGGTATTATTGGGAAAATTGTTATTAGCAATGATTTAGTTTAAAGTAATTAGGATTGTAAGCTAATTTTTATTAATTTAATGTATGTGCTTATTTATATTTTAAGTAGTGTTTTTGAATTTAATTATATTTTAATTATGATAGTTATTTTGTGAATTTTATGTTTGTAGGAATTTGGTATACGTTTTAGTTGAAGTAAACGTGCATGGAAATAATTTAAATATTTGACACTAAGTATTTGTAATGTTTGCGGTATGAATTCGTTGGTGACGTTTATAATATAATAGATAATTTAGAGGTAAAAGTTTTTGGATATTTTATTTATTTTATATGTGGAAATGTTCATATTTGGAAAGGGTAAATACTTTTCGCGATCAGGTAATTTCATATATGTTCTTTTTACTGGGTTTAAAGATTGAGAAAATTGTCATGTATTTTCGTGAATTTTTCTAATTTATGAGAAAAAAGCAGTGTACATGGATATAGTGAAGAGTGTGCGCAATGCCATTTTTGTGCAATTCTGGGATGTTTTTTTAAGTAAAAATAAGTTGGCGTGTACATGGTTTATGTGTATGTGTTATTTTGAAAAACGCGTAAGGAGTATGGTATTGTGCACTTTTTCCCAATTTTGCAGTGAATATTTGTCATGATTAAGCAGTTTTGTTAGATAAAATTTCTAGCATAAGTGTAATTCGGCTAGTAGATTGTTGGAAGAAGTGTTCAGTAGATAAAAAGAAAACAAACATGTCTTCGGCGGCGGGGGAAAAAAAAATAGAGGGTTGCTGTAGGAGAGTTGGTCGCCAAATTTTCGCCAAAAAAACGTCAAGTTACCATAATGTAAAGATCAACCATATTTGTTTTTAATTAGATAAACATAAATTCAATGCCTTTTTTAAAAATCAGATAAAAAATTTTAAAAATAACATTCTTAGAACTGCATCTATTGTTTTTCACACAGCTTCATTTATTAATTAATAACAGACAGCTGAAATTTGAAAGATAAGTATCTTACATTTTGCCAAATGGCAACAGACTCGAATGAGAAAAAAAATTTTGCATAGGACAACATTTAACCCTTTGACCACAAATTACAAAAAAATTACTCTGTTTTCTATTCAAGTGAACAAAATATGTCATAAATAAGGTAAATTTAGCATTTGGGATTTTTTTTTTGACAAATAGTTTTCCAGCCAAAGTCTCAAGCTGCAGTTAATGGCGGGATACATATGTCCCACACGTAGCGATTGACTTAATATAAGCACACCTATTATTCTGGAAAACTTTATAATATGAAATAGATTTACATCATATGGTACAGGTTTAAAAAAAAAAAAGCATTCTTTGCATAACCCAACATTACACATTGGGCAACTCAATATTTGTTCATTTCTGTACAACAAGCACAATGGCGTCTTGATTTTTCATCTATTGGAAAATGTTCCCCAGCATTCAGAATATTCCAAGTACTTTTTAACCCAGCAGTAATTTTTAAATTTTTAGTGGGGAGATGTATGTCTCATTAGTAGTCAAAGGGTTAACAGGAATCAATGCAAAATGACTCAAAACTAATGGCCCTTTTGGGCTAAAAATAATTATGCCTTTTTCTATTCTCATCTAGGAAATTTTATCCTCAGAACATTTCCCTCCAATAAATGTTTAAAATAAATAAATAAAAAATAAAAACAATCTAGAAATGTACAGTTAGATCTCTCTGCATTGCAAATCACTTAAAGATCATTTACATATTACTTCTGTTATAATAGCATCTGCATGTTCTGAACATTTTATTAATTATATTAAATTTTTAACTAATAGTTTAATAATTAAAACCTTCAATTAAAAATTCTCCAATAATTACATAAAATTCTAAACAAGTATCACAACAAGATTTTATTTACATTAAACTTAAGTGCAAATTTTACTTGACTTTTATTCAAATGTATTTTTCAAACCAATAATAGACTTAATCTAAATACATTCTCTAAACTCAGTCTAATTACATAGCATTATAAAAAAATGTTTCAGCATGCATCTAAATGCACACTTCAGTAATATTTTTAGATTATTTAATGATATGTACAGCTTACCACTGACAGCTTTTCTAATTTCATTTTATATTTGTTTACATATTTATAAAATTACACCGACATGTAACTAGGGAAAAATAACTGCTTAAAAACAACTTTCAAATAAAATATTTGAATATTTCATCTGTATAAATTGAAATAATACTTGGAGTTTATTGTGATTTTATATATGTAATATAACACTTTTTTAATGCACATTTGTACTCCGCTTCAGCACTGATTCTTTTCCTGAATTAAAAATTTGCTTTATATTTATTCAAAATTATATTATTACTTAATAAATAAATGGTACATTACATACAAATGCCAGTAAAGTACGTTAACGCAATCACGAAATAAGGGTAAACTTCTAACTACCCAGAAGTTTTCTATTCACATACTTTTATTATAATAACCACCTGTTCTCTTAAAGTATAATGTTTTTAATTATTTTACCATATTTACTTCTCTAAAGTTGCAATTCATCACTTCAAATAGAATACTCGTTTTTGTTAAAGCGAAATTTGAGGAAAAATCTTTCTGGAAGAAAGGACCTTTAAATTTCAACATTGAAGGAATGCGAGTTAAAACATCAGCATCGAATTACTAGAGATTCATACATTATTAAACTGCCAAATCTTTTTAAGTTTCGAAAAGTTGTTCATATCTGTTTCAATCTCAGAAAGACAGATCAGTTTTAGTAGTAGAATGAAACTACATTCACTTTATCTCGTTAGGTCTCGCATCAGTAAGATCGGATACCTTAGGGAAGTTTCGCAACACTTGCTCGGTAGTGATGTTTTTTAAAGTGTGTTACACATGAAAGAGGCACATATATCATTATTATACTAATGCTATGCATAATCAACAAGTTTTTTTCAATAACAGATAATTTCTCAAATTAATATCTTACGTTTCTCCTTGTTTCGTACGGGTCTTCGTCTTCTCCGCGACATGCCTCTCACATTCCGTGATGGGGGATGCTGTTATTCAGTAGATAGGAAGGATCAACGCAAGCGCAATCCGGAAAACGCGATATCAAACAGGTGGCGCAGGTTGCATTTTTTGTTGCCAGATTCTTCAACCTTGCATACTTTTTTCCTTTCCCCTTCATGACATCATATATTGTTTATATTTAACACCATCTTCATTATTTTCTTTAAGACACATCATAAATTACAAACAGTGTTTAGAAAAATATTGGAAATGTAATGCATTACACAGAACTTTCCTGCTCAAACTGTTGTAGTAACAGAGGTTTAATGTCTGCTATTTTCTGAATGAAATTTTAATGTCTTGTGTTTATAACGTGTATTATTCCTTATTTTTGGCCTCACATGATCAGGGGCGTAGCTAGAGGGGGGCATCAGTCCCCGGGCGCAGAATCCAAGGGGCGCCAAGCTGATGTTACGACATTTTAGAATTAAATGTTTTCCATCCTTGGCAAGCAGTAGGGGGCGCGAAATCTTCAGTTGTCCCTGGGCGCTGAAAACCCTAGCTACGACTCTGCACATGATGCTATTTTTTAACATTTGATATTTTAATGTAATGTTTTAACTGAGTGAAGAAATGGAAAGAGAAAAGAGAAATGTAGTAAATCTGTGGAGACACATTCCGCTCTTTCAATTTTGATTATCATTGTAACGGAGCATCAAAATCAGAACCTTTTTTTAATGATGGAATTCTTTTCCGCTTACAACTTCATTTTCAATTAACGGGTCACTAAGCTACTGTCTGTTATTCCATCATTTATTTGTATATTTTGGGCTGCACAAGTAGGCCCCTACAGCACTGAATTTCGGAGGGCGAAAATAATAATATTTACGTGAAAGTATATTTTCCTTTGAATGATTAATATGTTTAAAACACGAGCAGCCGATTGTACGGATTTCCTAAGCATCGAAAATGTCGGAGGCTGAGCTGTGTGTATTATTATTAAATTCAATGGAATATTGTATTATTAAATCATGTCGAAAAATAGAACATCAAGCAAATTATGGCAATCTTAAAATTATCTTGCATAAGGCGCACTTTTCATTTGTTTGGGTTATGAATATATTTTCAGAAATCTGGTTTATTCGGTCATTCATTAAGTTACAATTTCAACATTGTCTAATCCTGAACCATGGACTGATGAATAGTGATGGACAACTTCGGTACTTTCTTGTACCCGGTACGAGAGTAACGGGTACAGACAAGTACCCGGTACAAAATATCCGTTACTCAAGTAACCGTTACTTTGAAAGTACCGAAAACCAATTTCAAGTACCCAGTACCCAAGTAACGATTTGGAGTACCGAAGTAACGAAATACCGGAGTAACGGTTTGCTGTACCGGAGTACCCTAGTAACGATTTGGAGTACCGAAGTGCCCTAGTAACGATTTAGAATACCGAAATACGCAGCTAACGATTTTGCTCACTGAAGGAACTCTGCCACATCACCACGTGTTTGATTTTATCTGTACGGTAAAAGATTTTGAATATCAGAAAACATGTCAACTACGGAAGTGTCTGAGGAGCAGGAGAGCGCGGCGGGTTGTTTCTGGTGTTGGGTTTGTGTAGATTGTCTTTGATGGCCAGGGTTTAGTTGGGAGGATTGGCGCGGGAAGTGGATGGATGGAAACACTTTCGCTTTCTTGTGTCTTGTGTGCAGGTGCAGCAAAATCGATGGGTGCTCTATCAATTTCGTGAAAGAGGTCGTCCGTAAATGATGTCATGCTTGGAGGGGGAGTTAGTGAAATTGTGACAGTTTGTGACAAGACGGGGAATCATATTTTGATTAAAATAAAATGTTTAAAATCAGCAGATTGAATTTTGAAGTTATTTTAAAATTACCAAAATTTGAAGGTATTTCCTAAATTGGGGCGAAAGCAACTTTCATGTGATTTTTTTTTTTTTTTACTTACATTCCTTTCTTTCCAAAAAAAAAAGGCATTCAGAGTAGGTTTTGAGAATAGGGTAGCGGCAGAAATTGTAATTTTATTGCTATTGTGTATTAATTTGTTTTTGCTGTAAACTTTTCTCTTATTTCATACAAAATAAGTGCACGAATCATTATTATTGTTATATTTACAGATGTCATTAAAACATACAGTTTAAATTTAAAAATCTGAAATATGATCTATAACGTAGTGCTACGTTTTTGAACTGCAAGTATAAGTTTACGTAATATTACGTGACATGTGACAAAGGGGGGAGGGGGTATGTTGAAGTGTGACACTTTGTGACAAAGGGGGTCCAAAATGTTGCAGAAAAGTGTGACATCATTTATGGACAGCCCCAAATGAGCATAGTTGCGTACTTGAAATACGTCGGAAGATTTTCTTTGTATGATATTGAAGGAAGGGAGAGTACACTATGTTTTTTTCGGCTGTGTTGTGTTGAGTTGATGGAGGGAAACAAAGGAAAAAATCGGAAAATAGAAATTTTGATGCAACACTTTATACTATGAGTAAAAATGTCGCAATAAATTTAAAATAGAAAATTAACTACGAGTAACTAGCTGTGTAGCAACCCGATAGGATGCAGTTTTCCTAAGTAAATATCAGAAATTTAATGATCAATCTGTTTTAACATGATATTTTTTATTTATACGGATAAATAAGTCGTTTAATACCTACAATTCGGTAGTAAAGGGCATAGGGGTGCGTAGGGTCTAGACATTAAAATAATCACAAACCTTTAATCCCACTTATAGATAAGATAATGACCTTCAGTACCACTGCGAAATAAAACTTATTCAAGCTACCAAATTTTAAAAAAGATAAATCTCTTATTCTCTACTCTCCCCTATATATATTAAAAATTCTGGATAAAAAAAGTAAGATAATTTAAACATTAAATATAACATAAATGACCTTGTGTGTTTAATTGTACAATACTGGCATAAAATAAAATTTACACATTTATTCATATACACATGGTTGAAGAGCTTTTCCACAAAAAAGTTTATACTGTTCCTTTTAAATTACATTTAGGTTTATTTTGAGTTAAATTTGTACTTTTGGAGATTTGGCACCGTACAATAAACACAAAATGATTAGAAATATTTTTAAAAACAAAAAATATGATTTTAAAAAATGCATAAACATTTATATTTGATTTAAACATTTTGAATTACCAAAAGCACTAGAAAATGAGGTATGTTTTGAAAAGTGAGATAATGTAATATATTTGGATGTACTACAGTAATAAGTAAATTTCAGCAAAATGGTTAAAAATAGTTTTAAAAACGCACAATATGATTTTAAAAGGCACATTCAATATAACAATTTTGAATTGAAGATTATCAAAAAACACTAGAAAATAAGATAGCAAAGGGTTTAAAACTGTGAGAGCGCAATACCTGGATGCAGTAACTGCTGTAAACACAAAAAATGCAACAGAATGGTAAAAAATATTTTTAAAACTCAAATTACAGCCAAAGCGCATTCGACATAAGACTTTTGAGTGAAAGATTATTAAAAACACTAGGAAATCAGACAGCATGTCTTTAAAACTACGAGGACGTAATATCTGGATGCTGTAACAGCAAAAAGCAACAAAAATATTTGTAAAATCGCATTATATGAATTCAATAAGTACATTCGATATAAAATTTAAACTAAAGATGATTTAAACACTAGAAAATAAGATAGCATGCTTTCAACTATATGAGAACTTAACATATGTGAGTACAGCTAAGTAAATAATAGAACTGTAGAACTTCATATTATATTAATGATCTAAATACAATTTCAAAATAATTTTTTTTTAAGAAATTGACATTTGTGTGGGGAAAGGCAACGACCATAGTTGATAACACACATTTATTACTATTTACAAATATAGATTACATTAGGGTTACAATTAATGAAAATGGTATACGAGCGATCGAGCGACGTCTGCTCCGCTCGCCAGCTAATCCTCGTCTTCTCCCGAAGGCGGGAAACACATGCTGACGCAATGCATACGTCACACAGTAGGGGATTAGGGAATATCATGACATAACATTTCCCACATTCGGCCATCATGAGCGGACAGGCGACCTCGCCTGAAGCAACATAGTATATCATCAAATTAAAAAAAATTATTATAGCATAGTAACATTGGTATAATAAAAAAAAATAATCTGTAGATACAAAGCTGAGGATACTTACACAAATGGAGCAAAAAAATAGTTTAAACACACCACACAGCAGTTAACTAAAAATAAAAAGAACATTAGTATGACAAAATGAATTAAAAAGTTGATATGAGGAAAAAAAATTATTAGAAAGTTCTCAGGTGTCATCTGTCCAAACACAGGAGGACCTATAATGCTGACAGTTTAATAAAAATTAAGTGATACGTTCAATATTGTTGGACCAGGGTTTCATGTATTCAGCACAAGTAGATGTTTTGGATGGTCCGTCGAAAAATGCACACTTTTCCACATCATATGTGTCATTTTGTTTGAGCCTGGTGACTTTATAAGGTCCGAGAAATTTCTGTTTGAGTTTTAGACCAGGGCCAAACTGAGTTCGTTTGATAGCCACGAGGTCATGAAGTTGAAATTTTTGTGCCTGTTTTCGTCGCAAATTATAAGTACGGCGATTTTCGTCTTGCACTTTAGAGATTTGCTGTTTTGCGTCCTTACGGAGATCGTCACGTTGCTTAGAGCAGCGATGTTTATGTCGTTTTGCGATTTCATTTTAGTCCCAAAGAGAAGTTCAAAGGGAGTGGAATTGATGCTACGTTGAAAAGTTGAATTAATAATTTGTTGCACGGCGGGAACATGGCGGTACCATTGCTCAGGGTTGGTTATGGAGAGTTTAGAAAGGACAGCAATATAATGGAGTTCAAACGCTCAACTTGACCGTTCGATCGTGGGAGGCCAGCTGTAATAAGAACGTGCTTTATTCTCTGTGTGTCACAATAGTTTGCAAATGCAGTGGATTTGAATGCAGGGCCTCGATCAGAGATAATCCGTGAAGGATTTCCGAAGACTGATCTTTGAGATTCCAGCCGACTGATAACTTCATCTGCGTCTGTAGACTTTGTCGGATAAAGCCA